TTGATGTTTTTGTTCTGAAGAAGTTCTGCAAGTAAAGTTTTGAATCAAACAAATGGGTCTAGACAATTTTTATTCCAAAAGGAGTCAGTTTTTATGCATCCAGTCACTTCAGGCTGCACAATATTAATATCTGCAATATCATATAAGCAGAGCATGTGGTCATGAATTGAAAGGGTATAGGATATGATGTAAGCATGTTTGTGGGTTGTCTGTGACCCCACCACATTTTAATCATTCCACTGACAAGTCTGCCAGCAGAGTGTTTCACCAGTGTATCTGAGGTGTTATACTGCTGCCATGATGGATATACCAGAAGATCTTATGTTCTGCTGCTGTAGTGGAACTTTTGTTAAAAAACACCTGTGTCCCTTTAGCTGGTACACTTTGACTCATAGATTGTTCAGAGACACCCCAATCCAATGCATGTTTACTTAGAAATTCCCAAGTAGGTGGGCACAGGATTGTAACCATAGGCTTTTCGAAAAATAAAATTGTTCTTTGTCTTGAATGCTGCTTTGACTCTAGGGAACTGGTTGTTGAATTTGCTCCAGGATGCTTACACACATTCCTGCTTGTTGAAAACAATACATTTCTAATCAGATTACTATACAAACAGTATTGTATATGTCCCCAGTGTTCTTTTTTGCAAGCAAACTGAAGTTTTCACAGCTCAGAAGGAAGAAGGGACACAGTGATAGTTTAGCAAGTAGAGGTTAACTTATTATCTTTTCTTCTGAAACCAACACATATTGTCTAAACCTGGCTCAGGCAGAGCTAAGCTTCCCTCTATTGTAAATATATGATGACACTTTTGATTTGGATTATGTGAACTAGGTCAAGGGAAAATATCTAGATATTATGGATTATTCAAGCATGCCAATAAAGCCTTTGTCTGTTTCCAAGGCAAACACCCATACAAGATTACACATTTTGTTGTCCTGTTGACATTTCTATTGTTGCTTTTTTAATTGTCTGATCTTAAACAAATGAATCATGCTACTCTTTATTAATGCTGCAAAATCTTCTACATAATTTCCCTCTCAGTAAGAATTCCACAAGAGACAGCTCAGATTATAATTGCACTGCATAATAAACAAGTAAAGCCAATTATGAATCTATGCTGCTGTCAAACTCTTGACCCATGTCCCTTTTGTGCATTGCCATTTCCTCGAGGGCTCAGAGTGCTAGACATGGCAACAGACAGACAGCCCCATCCTGGGCAGACTTAGCACCTCATACCCATGGAAACCAATGGACTGAGATGCACTTAACTCAGCACAGGATCAGGCTGCGAGTGAAATGCTTTACATTTATACCACAGTACAAGAAGCCACTATTTGCAACCAGGAGACAGGTCAATAAAGATTTAATTAGAAAATTAAGATTTAATTAAGAAAAAGATTTAATTAGAATTTATTAGAAAGTGTTTTCAATATCTAGCAAGAGTAAATAACTGATCAATAGATGGCCCTTTCTACAATAATGAAATAGAAAAAATGTGTCCTACTCTCCATCTCTACAGGCATGATTCCTATGAATACCATAATACATTTCTGATGCTTTATCAGAAACAAATGCATAGAATCTGTACATGTGAACAGCTAGTGCTCTTAAGATATATATTTTATACCATGTTTTAACAACATAACTGTTCTATTAACCAACCTTTTGATATTTTTCCACTTCAGATATGCATTGATAGCTCAATGAGCTTTTATTTCACAGAGGCATGGTATTAACATTATACTCAGAAAGATACCTTTGGGTATATGCTCCCTGAGCAACAATGAAGTGGGCTGGCTGATGATTGGAGCACAGGTGGGATAAGTCCCAATATGAATTTGATCAAACACAAGTACAACCACAATGCATGTAACAGTGGCAGTGGCAAAAAGAGCGCATACTTCTCTGTTTCGATTGTGTTTTTAGTGAATTGTCCAGCAGAGCTTTTTAGTATGGTAAATTAGCTGATAGGGACCACTCAAAAGCCTGCTGTTAAGAGATTTGCAAAGGGTAAAATCACTTGGCTCTGTGCCAAACTTTATGTCACAATTAGTGCAGGTCCATTGGAGGGTCTTTAAGCACCAACTAGTTGCAGCCTGCAGGACACTTGTAGAAGTCAGGGTAGCAGCATGCTCTCTCTCTATTTCTGTCCATCATGGCTGATAAACTCCAGGAGGTGATTGACTGAATAGGTCCAGGGAATGGTCAACACAGCACTACATGTGGGACTTATGCCCACTACCCTGAAAGAGGCAGGATGTGGTGACTCCTGAAGAGGCCCTCTCTGGATCTGCTCAGACTCTAAATCTTCACTTTCTGGCCAAGATGGCTGAAAGGGTGGTGTTGGAAGCTGCCCAGTACAGTACTCTTCGGGAATGACTCAGGAAGGTTGAAGCTGAGATACTGTTTTTCAGAGCTCTGTTCCTACCTGAAGGATCATTGCCAGAAAGTAGCATTAGGGCACTGTTACTTGGCTCATAGTTTTTGGGCTGTGGGGTCCTATGCTATTTAACATTTATTTGTATGAAACCATTGGAAGCAGTCATCTAAGGATCTGGAGCACTGTGTCACCAGCACATTAATAATGCAGCTCTAGCTGTCTATTACATTTGAATCAGGAAAGGCTATGAAGGTGTTGGATCCCGTGCCTGGGAACTGTGATGGGCTGTATGGGTGCAACCGCCCTGCCCCCCAGCAACTGAGTCCTGATAAGATGGATGTGGGTGGGTGATTCCCATGTCCTAGAATTCGGCAGACAAACTGTTCTGGGAGGGGTTGCACTCCCCACTGAAGAAGGTTTATAGTTTGCAAATACTCCTGGATTCCACTCTCTTACTGGAGTGCCCCAAGGGGATTCTGTGGTTAATTAGCAGAGAACCACTGAACAAATGATAAGAAATTTTAAAGCTCTAACCTAGTAATCCGGTGCAACTGGAGTGCAAATGTTCCACTAACAAAGTTTGATTTCTTGCTAACCGGGAAGAATAAATATTAAATTTAGGGGAAATGGAACCTGCAATGCCAGTGTGAAGGTCAATTATATTTCAGAAGCAATACTGGATACTGGATACTGACCGGAAGTGACCCTTTTTCTGCTGCATAATTAATGAAACAAAAAAATATATGGATAACAATTGCAAGTTTGTGTGAGACACACACACACTTCAAATTAACTTAGTGGGGCTTACTTACAAGTGGACATGAATAAGATCAGGCGGCCACTTCCTTTACATACTGTAATAAAATTACAACTAAGGTTAACTTTGTAATTCACAATCTGAACCACAAGAGGGCACCAAACAAATATGCAGTGATAATACTGTAACAGTTAACACTAAAAAGTATGCTGGTACCTACATAATAAGGCCAACTGACCCTCTCCCCCGCCCCATATTGCAGTCAGTAAAATGACAGTTGTTTAGATATACAACCTGAGCATTCAGCAAATAAATTATTGCAGGATGGTTTGCAAGAAAACCCCCCACATAAACTTAATAAAACAACAGTAAAACAACAGAACGTGATAAATGAAAATTGGTGAACAGAAGTTTCACAGTATTTATCTATTTATTTAAACCGTATACAGCCCTTCATCCAAAGATCACAGAGCAGTTCACAACATAAAGATACAAAATGAGAACACAAAATACATAACAAAACCAACAAACCAATACCCCCCCATTACATTAAAAAGCCTATTGTTTAATCAGCCAAAGGCCTCGTTATAGAGAAATATTTTTGCCTGGTGCAATGGATAAGCCTCACCCTGGGAAAACCTCCTTCAAGGTTTCTCCCTTGCTGATCAAGGTGTTTCCTATGCCAGGTAGGTATGTGTTTGATGGTGTTTGCAGATTTTTGAATTGTGCCCACCATTTACAGTGGTACCTCGGGTTACATACGCTTCAGGTTACAGATTCCGCTAATCCAGAAATAGTATCTCGGATTAAGAACTTTGCTTCAGGATGAGAACAGAAATCGTGCTCTGGCGGCGCGGCAGCAGCGGCAGGCCCTATTAGCTAAAGTGGTGCTTCAGGTTAAGAACAGTTTCAGGTTAAGAACGGACCTCCGGAACGAATTAAGTGTGTAACAAGAGGTACCACTGTATATGTAATTTTGGGTTTTTCTGAACAGTGATTTCTTCTCCCCTCCCAGCTTGTCCAGGAAACAGTGACTGTTCTGCTGATGCTTATGTTCCTGAGTATAGCAGTGCTTAAGGTTTTGGGGTTTTCTAGTATGATTTTTAGTATGGAATGTTGTTGTTCTTTAGTTGTGTCCAACTCTTCGTGACCCCATGGACCAGAGTACGCCAGGCACTCCTGTCTTCCACTGCCTCCCGCAGTTTGGTCAGGCTCATGTTTGTAGCTTCGAGAACACTGTCCAACCATTTAGTATGGAATAACATGGTGCAATTTCTGGAAAGCTGTCCAACCCTCCTTTGTCCATTTAAAATGTAGTGGCCTTCTCAACAACCCTCTTGTTGCTTTCTCTCTTTGTGTGTCTGTGCAGCTAGATCACCTAGGAAAGGAACAGGGATCTTTAGTCCTCTCAATTTGGTCACTCCTGAATCGTATCATGAGGCACAGTGGTGGTAGTGGTGGGCCTGCTGCTGTACGACGCCGCTTCTCCTCACATCTCTGGCAGTAGCAGATGACTTCTCCAGCACCACCGGGGGACCTTTTGCCCTGCTTTGCTGACTTCCAGGTTTTGGTGAAATCTCGCCAGAAGCCGCTTCTCCCATGGTAGAGGGACCCTCCCATCAGAAACTGCTGCTGCTTCCGCTTCTCTTCACTTCTCCAGCCCCCACATCACTAGAGAAGTGAGGAGAAGCAATGGGATTTTGCCGCCTGAGGTGCCTCGAGGGTGGTCCGGCCCCGGCACTAAGGAAAGCTTAGCTTCGCATACGTGGCGCCAAGTACGCGCACGAGACCAACCGCTTAGCGGGTGACGTGGCATCGCTCAACGGCTTCTCCGTGTCCTCGTGACTCGCGGTGGGGTGGGGGGGTGTAAGGCGCGCCTTCGGGAAGTCGCGAGCAGGAGGTTTTCCTCGTGACTGCGGGCCGGAGGATTTCGGGCGTGAAGGGCCTCGTTGCCGTGGCAACGGCGGCGCCTGGAGGCAGGCCGGAGAAAGTTCCCCTAGGCCGCTCTTCCCCGCCCCTCTCGGCCGCCACGTGACTATCCTCCGGCAGCCGCTCTTCCTTCAGCTTCCGGGGAAGAGTCGGATCGCGAGGGAACCGGAGGCGGGGGGAGTAGTTGTGGTAGTAGTAGTAGTAACGGCGCGCGGGCATGTCGACCAACAATGTCGGCTACAACGAGCAGGCCGGGGACGCTCAGCCCGAGGTGGGCCAGGAAGCGACACCCACCGCCGCCTCCTCCTCCGCCTCGACGGCCTTCGGGCTCTTCAGCAGCGACACCAAGAAGTAAGTAAGGAACGGCCGGAGGCGGGGTGAGGCGCGGCTGGGGCGGCCGGGGGCTGGGCTTCCTCTCCTCAGGGAAGTAAGTGCAGGCGCTGCTTCCTTCGAGGAGACCAGAAGCTCAGCCGCCCGTGGGTCTCTCTTCCCCTCGCTTCCCAGCCGCCTTCCCACCCCAAATCCTATTAACAACTTCAGGGTCCTTAATACGGTGCTTTGTGAAACTTACTGCAAAGCTAAGCGGGGTTGTGCCGTTATGAGTTCCTCTGCGACTTTGAGTGACGTTGGGAGTTGGTCCCTAATAAAGTTACTGCCTTGCGGTCGCTTTCAGAGCTCAGTTGTTTTTCTTTGCAGATCAACACGGCTGCTTCGGATTTTCTTTTCTGCCTTGAATTGTGGAGTAAGGGAGAAGTCCGAATTCTTCCTACTAACGTGGTAAAAAGTTGTATACAGGATATCGATGCAAGGGAAGTAATAAATGACTGTAAGGAGAAGTGCCCGCTGAGAGCAGCATGAGAAACCTCAGGGACCCCTCCTTTCAGTTTTATGCACTTTATGCTGCAATCCTAAACGCACGAGGGAGTAAGTCACAGCGAAGTTGGTAGGGATTTCCTTCTGTGTAAACATGCAAACTCTTGTGCTCCTGGAGACACTGATAGCTTTGAAATCAGGGAGACACTGGCGGAAGTTATGTTGAGGGTGGGATAGGATCACAAGGTTATTTTTGATTCTTCAGTCAAGTTGGGTTGGCCACAGTGGAGAGACTGGATAAACCTTTGATTCATGCTTGATGAAGGGGTATTATTTCGTATTACCGCTCATACTGGCCCATGGACTCTTTATATTGCCATTTCAGCTTGCCAATATTGGTAGCATTTCATATTTGTTGATGGGCCGGAGGTGGCAATATGCTTTCTCCCCTTTTAAATTTGATTATGTTGTGCTCTGTTCCCACAAGATCTTGGCTAGCCTCTTAATGGTCTTCAAGTGCCCATTGTTTTAACAAATGTTAAAATTGAAATAAACTGTACTGGGAACCCTTTATTTAGAAGACTTAATCATAAATTCTGCTATTTGTAACTTCAGTGTTTCAGGTTTGTCTGCAATATTCTCAAGGAAATTAACACAATACATTTTCCAGTAAAAACAAGTGCCACATGTAGAATATCTAATTTTGCTGGTTATAGCTTGATAATACTACTTTGTGTGCATGTGTGTGTACAAGTGAGTGATTAGTCTGTACTCTTGAAACATTGTAAGTTAGAAAGGTTTTGAGTTCAAAAAGGTTGCTAGTCAGTGCTGTTCATTCATTTAAACAAAACAGAAGAAAATACTTTTTAAAGTTGAAGTTCAAACCATTTATAAACCTAGATGAATAATAGAACAGAATTATTTATACTTAATTTAAATCACATAATTGAGTAATTTTGTTAGCTTTCTCTTCTGATAGGGTTCCTTAAGGAACCTTTGCTACTTTACACATACAGACCTGAACATGTGCCTTGGGAATAAGTCTTATGTAGTAATGTGTCATGTTCACAGGTGGTCTTTTGAAACCTTGCTTTCACAGAAGTGGAAACATAAACCCTAATCCGCTTTCACTTCTAACTAGTCTCCTACCTACAGTATGCTGTTTGTGTGCCATTATTTATTTTACCTCTCGGACATAGTACTGCCTATTTTCAGTCTTCTGTGGCATGGCAAGCTACTTTAAATCATGTATCCATAAAAGTGAGAAATAATTTTTACAACAAAGAGATGCTCATCTTGTAGTGTCAGCACCAGTGTCTTAACTTAACTAGGGAAAAGGTATCATGATGACATAGCTCAGAGTTCTGCTTTACATTTTATTTGCTATTAACACAAATTGGGTGGGGTTTTTTATTAGAGAGTCCTAACACACCTAAATATACAGAAGTCAAAACACAAAAAACACTAAAATATTCACTAACAGAACCAGCCATAATGCTAAAAAGTCCAGTTTAGTAAAATACCTAACACCAGTAAAAAATTAAAATTAATAAATGTAAGTTAATGTAATTCCCAAAACATAATTTGATAGCTTGCTGCCAACCACCCAGAAGTGTAGGCCTGGGACTAGACGCACTTTGTTAAACAGTATTGTGTGCTTCTTCTTTAACTTTATATAGCAGATATGGGAGAAGCAAGTCAGAATTGGGATTGCAGCAAAGAGGGAGGGTTTTCTAGCCTGTTCCTTCCACACTGTAGTTCTGATAAAAATTGCCCCTCCCAGCTACTATTTGCATCAAGAAAGAATCTGCCATCCAATGAAAGCAGCTTTGTGTATGTGTGTTCATGTTCAAATTTATTGAAGTGCTTTAAAAAACAACCCTGCCTTGGTTTTGGTCCTGATTTTTCTCCCCCACTACCCCAAAGCTGCTGTTTATTTTCTTAAAAAAAATCATGGCATTCCAAACAAGTTGTGTTAATTTTATATTTAGTTTGGCCCTTAATATTTTGTAAGAAGAATATCTAATGTGGCCCTATGGTTTATATGATAAATTGATATGAGATGAGATGAGCCGTTAATAAACTTGATTACTGAAGAACATAGAATTGGAATATTGTATAGGCTGAAAGGTATCAAAAATGTCATTTTGAGTTGGCAGATCTTGCAGGTAAGGTCTTGAAGAGCTTTTGCAGCAGGAGGCACATGCAGTCTCACAATTCATTTGTTACGTAATTTGTATTGGCAATCTTGTTTAAGTTGGCATTTAATTACCAAATAAGATTTCATTACATTCTGTAAATTGGGAAGTGTGGTTAAAACGTAATTGTGTTGCTTGTTGTTTGTAATCTAGTTGTTTCCTTTCTTTATATCCAATAAAATGTATCATTGCAATTTGGCATTTTCAAAGAGGCACTGTTGCAAGTGAAACATTTGCTTCTGAAACTTTGGAGTTTATATAGAAGATTTTTTTTTTAAAAAGCACACCTTAGTAATTATGATCTTTGAAGGCAATTTTAGATTGTATTGTGAAACAGAATTTAAAAGGAAATGCTTATTGCAACTTAATTTTAGATTGCTGATAGCTCAGTCCTAGTTATTTGACTACTATTGGGGAGCTCTCTGCGGACTCATTGGCTGAGAAACCAGACCACCCATGCAAGGGGACCTGGGATCTCCCTGTTCCCAACAGTGAGTCCTTTGACCACAGAGGTAATGGGGGACCTGCAATGGCCTGTCCTAGAAGCTGCAGTGCTCCCAAAAGTGTTGGTAAGCATGAAAGGAAGGGTGGGCAACTGCTCATGCCTCCCCCCCCCAGGATGCTGCCATTTACCCCAGAGTGACTCACCTGGCTAGGTCAGGCTCTGGGGCCAACCTGCAGTCCCCATGTTCTCCCACTTCCTAGAGGCCCATTAGGGTCCTCAGGTGGTGGATTTCCCTGGCTTTAGAAAGGGGACACTCCTTCAGGGCGCAGCCATGGGTGCAGATAATGACAGATGCGACCCTCTTGGTGTGTGGACCCCACACAGAAGATCAGTATGTCCAAGAAACCTGATCCAAGGAGGAAGCCAAATAACTCATAAGTTGGTTGGAACTCGGAGCACTCAGACTGGCACTCTTCCACTCTGAGAGGCTGGTGGAGGGCAAGCACAGGCTGATCCTTTCCAACAGCATTGCCACCAAGGCATATATATGTAAAGAAGGTGAAAGCAAGTCACAGGCTCTCATGCAAGAGGCAACCAGCCTCCTCTCCTGGGTGGAACAGTATCTAGAATCCCTATCAGCAGAGCACGTAGCGGGTGCCCCCAACACTTGAGCAGACTGGGTCAGCCACCTGCAGACAGAGTGGATCCTTCATCCATAGATGTTCTAGAAAATAGTGGATTGCTTTGGCCTTCCAAGAGTGGACGTTGTTGCTAGTCCAGAAAATGGAAAGGTGGTGTTTTCCCGGTTCAGGACCCAAGGAGCAATGGGCATGGATACCCTGACGTGGCTAGGTGGGGCTTTTATATGCCTTTACTCCCATGGTCCTAATCCAGAGATTTTTCAGGCGAGTCAGATCCACTCCAGGGGAGATTATCGTAGTTGCTCCCTTCTGACCAAGGAGAGCCTTGTTCGCAGAACTCATGGCAAACTCATGAGTTCCTACTCAACAGGAAGGATCTGCTGTTGTAGGGTGAGGTCCATCACCCAGCTCAGATTGGCTACCAACTCTACACCTGGCTGTTGAGGGGAGGGCCTAAGGCAGGGGTCAGAAAACGTTTTCAGCAGGGGTCCACTGTCCCTCAGATCTTGTGGGGGGCCGGACCTATATTTTTGGGGGGTTGGGGAATGAACGAATTCCTGTGCCCCCAAATGGCCCAGAGATGTATTTTAATAAAAGGACATATTCCTACTTATGTGAAACACGCTGATGTCCTGGGACTGTCCGCAGGCCTAGATTTAGAAGGCGATTGGGCTGGGATGTGGCCCCTGGTTTCCAAAGGATAGATTCAGACAGAGAGATTAATAGTGAACTGTTCATACTTACTGATGTCTTTGTCTCTTGTTTGTTCATAGACATATGGCAGCCAACTAGGAATAGGACTTGTAATGTGGCCTTCAATGTTAGAATTGTGTAGAAACCAACAGAGGTGGCCTCTCCCATTGGAAGGGGGAATGAACGAATTCCTGTGCCCACAAATGGCCCAGAGATGCATTTTAAATAAAAGGACATATTCTACTCATGTGAAACACGCTGATTCCCGGACACCCGCGGGCCGGAGTTAGAAGGTGATTGGGCTGGATCCGGCCCCCGGGCCTTAGTTTGCCTACCCATGGCCTAAGGCAATTAGGACTAACTGACTGGGTAACCTCTACCCATCCTAGCTTCCAGTGTTAGAAAACTCAGATGTATAAGCTAATTGCCAAATGGCACCTTAAATCTTGGTTACGTTTGCCACAACAGAATGCCTCTGTGCCATTCCCCACCCCACCCCAATGACTTATGATCCATTTCATTTCTATACCGCTTTAAGTTTTAAAGAAAATCTCTCAAAGC